CATATAATTAGGTTGAGTATTGATGAAAATATGTGAAATAAATATAACCATAAAAGAATTAGAGTAGCTCAAGTGGCGGACAAGAGTATAAAAAGTTGTCTTAGATGGTTTAGTCGCATTAAACATCGACTATCTAATGATTTAGTTAGAGGAGTAGATGTTTTAGATTAAACTTAGGTTTGAAAAGGTAAAGGTAGTACTAAAAAGACATGAGCATGTTGTACAAAAAATGATCTTAATTTATTAAAATTAAATAAAAATATGACTCAATATGACACAATAGAGAAAAGTGATTCATGCCACCGATCCATTTAGTGGGATAAAGCCTTTTTGTTATTGCAACTTAAAAATTAAAATTTTAAATTAGAAACAAAAAAATGATTAAAATGTCATGTCTTAAAATTTTGATTTAAAATTATATTCAAAATATTCAAGAGTGAATATTTTAAAATATTATATATTGAATTGGTGAAAAATATCATTATTGTATCATTATCATTTGAATCATATTAAAATAATTTTTAAAATTAGATGAGTTTACATACATAACACACAATTCTCACATATTTACACATCTAATACTTAAATTTTCATATTTAGAGTACTTTGGCGTCATAAATTTGGGCATGAAAGTATGTATTTCACTTTTAAAAAGTAAGTGATAGTGGCACTTTTAACGTGAAATTTAAGATTTGCATGTTATGGGCCTAAAATTAAAATTTAGGTGTTAGATATATAAATATATAACAATTGCGTAGTATGTATGTAACTCCCCTAAAATATATTATGACATATGGTTCGATCATGAGTGTGCATTAATTGGTTTAAATTTATTAACTAAATCAAATCGAGCATATTTGATTGATTTGGTTTGGTTAATGAAATCACTGTTTAATTTTTTGTTCCAAATTGAGAGTTATTTGATTTTCCGTTATTAGTTCGATTTGGAAACAAAAGAAGGTTAAACTAAAAAAATCAAATTATATTACATTAAAGGTAACTCATCAACAAATTAGTCGAACAAATAGATCAACCAATCAATCCAAATTGACCAAATGTAGATATTTTTATTAGGAATTCAAAATTTAGTTAAACCAAAATTGAACCGAATAAATCGTATTATATTTTGGTTCGATCCCATATCCTACTTGATTGGTTTGATTTTATCTTTATTAATTTTAATTTAATTGGTTTGATAAATTCTTTAACCTATTCAGTTAAACCAATTGGCGGACATCCTTAAGTTCAACCCGAGGTTAAACTCCGGTTGAATTGTTGAACTTTGAACCACTCCTTAACATTCAAAGTTCAATCTAGTTTCTGAAACATATATATAGACGAGCCCTAGTTATCCTTAGGTGTGCTAAATCTTCAAGTATCACACCCTACACACTGATGGATTCGAACCCTTGACAGAGAAGACTTATGACCTTCAGAGAAGTTGCTCTACCAACATGCCACGGTACGCGCACAGCATATACATAAATATACAGACATATACATACATATGTATATAAATGCATGTATGTATGTACGTACGTATACGTATACACACACACACGTGTGTGTCTAGACACATATGAACAATGGTTTTGGAAACTAGATTGAAATTTTAAGTGTATATAATAATAGGATTTTGGAATATAGAGACTCTTACTGGTAAATTAATGAAATTAGTTGATATCATGATTTATAGAAAGATATATATCTTATGTGTTTGAGAAACTAAATGGATTGGAGAAAATATTAAGGAGATTGATAACTGAAGTTTTAAACTTTGGTACTCAGATAAGAGTCGCTTTAGAATTGGTGTAGGTGTAATTATAGATAAGAGTTTGAAAGATAATGTTGCAAAAATTAATAGAATTATAACCCTTAAAATTATTATTGATACTAAGATTTTTAATATTATAAGTGCTTCTGCACCTAGAGTAGATTTAGATATAGATTCTAAAGAAATATTCTGGAATGACTTAAAAGACTTAATACAAATGATACGTCTTGAAAAAAGAATTTTAATTAGAGTAGATTTAAATGAACATGTCGGTAGAGTGATAGAAGAGTTTAGAAATATTCATGGTGGCTACAATTTTGAGTGATTAATGAAGAAGATAGTGTTATATTAGATTTTGTTTTAGCGTATGATTTTGTTATTGCTAATATTTTATTCAAGAAAAGAGATGAACATTATATTACTTATAAAAATAGATCGAATAAAACACAAATTGATTATTTTCTTATGAGAAAAAGAGATCGTCGAGAATGTAAATACTGTAATGTCATTCCAAGTAAGGATTTAAGTACTCAACATCGATTATTAGTTTTAGATTTTAAGAAAAAGAGTTGTAAAAAAAATATTGGGAATCATTGTCACTGAATTAAATGGAGGTACCTAAAAACAAATAAAATTATTTTTATGAGTAAAATTCAAAATTTTAAAATTTGGGATGTTCATGAAGAAGCAAATTCTATGTGGGATAAAGTAGCAAACATTATTAAACAAGTGACAAAAATTATACTTGCGAATCAAAAGAAAAAATTTCTATAAATAAAATAGTTGGTGGTGGAATAATAATGTGCAAGAAAAGATAAAATATAAAAAGTTATGTTAAAAATTGGTTCAAAAGTAAAAGCTTAGAGAACTGAAAAATATCAAACGGCTCGTAGGGAGTCTAAGAGAACAATCTGTGACGCTAAACATTTCTACTTTTAGTGATCTTTATAATAGCTTAGATACCAATGAGAGCAAAAAATATATGTACAAACTAGCTAAACAAAGATAAAATAAATAAATAAATATTTAACTCAAGTAAAGTGTATTAAAAATAAAAATCAAAAAGTAATTTTCTTAGAAAAAGATATTCAAAATAGATGGGTGAGTTATTTTGATAAGCTTTTTAATAAAATTTCGAAAAATACGATCGACCTTAGTAATCTTAATATTGATAATAATAATAAAATGTTTCATTTTTGCAGTCGCATTAGTAAAAAATAAGTTGAGAAGGCTGTAAAGAAAACCAAGGGTGCAAAGTATGTAGGACTTGATGATATCTCAATTGAAGTGTGGAAATATTTAAGAGATTTTAGAGTTTCTTGGCTTACTAAACCCTTTAATATTATTTTAAAAACTGAAAAGATGTATGAGGAGTGGAAGAAGAGTATTTTGGTTCTCAATTTTAAGAATAAAAAGGATGCACAAGAGTGTGCAAATTATAGAGGAATTGAGTAATGTGTCGTACTTTAAAATTACGGGAGAAGGTAATTGAACATAGGTTAAGAAGCATTATAAAGATTTCTCATAATCAATTTGGATTTAAAACAGACAGGTCTACTATGGAAGCTATACATTTATTGAGAGGTTTGATGGAGAAGTTCTGAGATAATAAGGAGGATCTACATATGATTTTTATTGATTCAGAAAAAGCCTACGATAAGGTTCCAAGAGATATCCTTTAAAGAATTATTGAGAAGAAAGGTGTTGATATGACTTATATTCAAGTCATTAAAGATATATATAGAAGAGCTACTACTTGTGTTCGAACAAAAGGATGATTGACCAAAAATTTTCCTATTCCTATTGGTTTACGTCAGGATGAGCTTTAAGCCCATATCTTTTGCTTTAGTTATGGATGGTCTTACTGGACACCTACAGGAGGACGTACCTTAGTGTATGTTTTTTTGCTGATAATATCCTTCTCGTGGATAAAACGAGAGAAAAAGCTCAGGAAAAACTTAAATTTTGGAGGTCTACCTTGGAGTCTAAAGGCCTTCATCTGAGTAGAACTAAAACTGGATACAGAAAATATATATTTAGTAATAGTAGTAGCTCCAGTGACAAAAATGTAACTACGGGTGATCAAATTATTAAAAGGTGTGAACGCTTTAGATATCTCGAGTCTATTGTTCAAAGTGATGGTGATATTAATGGGGATGAAATTAGTAGAATTCAAGTTGTTTCGTTGAAGTGGAGAAATGCTTCAGACCTATTATGTCATAGAAAAGTGTTGCTTAGACTGAAAGGAAAATTTTAAAAGATGGTGGTGAGACTTGCAATGCTCTATGGTGTTGAATGTTGGCCATTAAAAGAGAAGCACGAAACTAAGAAGTGTTTCCGAGATGAGAATGACTAGGTGGATGAGTGGCTTTACACTTAGATACAAAATGTGAAATGAATATATTTGTGATAGGATTGGTGTAGCTTCAGTGACATATAAAATTAGAGAGAGTCGTTTTAGATGATTTGGTCACATTAAACGTCGACCATCTGATGATTCGACCTGAAGAGTACATGTTTTAGATTCGACTTATGTTAAGAGAGACAGAGGTAGACCTCAGAAAACTTGGGCATATTGTATAAAAAATGATCTCAATTTATTAGAATTAAATGAAAATATGACACTAAACAGGACACAATTGGAGAAAAAAGGATTCATGTAGCCGACCCCAATTAGTGGGATAAAGTTTTTTATGATGATTTTGTTGTCGTTGTTGTATACGTGTAGACACGTTCACGTGCATGGAAAAATATATTGAGTTGTTTTTAAGTTTAATCAAATATTTATCGAATGATCAATCCTTGAGTGGAAAAATAAAAAATCAATTGTAAGACGCTTAGTATTAAAACAATTGCTAAGCAAGCTTCATATCAATTCATGAGTTTGTGTATAGGTGCAAATCCACATAACAATGTATATAAATAAGTTGACTTGATTTCAAGTTGAATCAAATAAATATCAAGCGACCAAGTCTTGAATCGGAGCAAATCGACTTTAATTTTGAGACAGCTAATATTTAAAAAAAATTTAAGTGAAGCCTTACATATAATAGCTAACCCTACATGTAAGAGGAAAAATGACATCTTTAAATTTTGAAAATAAATTGGAGTAACATGATTTTTCTAACCATGTTGTGTGCATGTGCATGTGCGCTTAATCTTAGCAAAAGCATTAGAAGATATTTACAAGGATCCAACTACCCTTCCTATTACTATGTAATCTGGCTAAAGAATTTCATAAAAAGTGGAATATGAAAATTGGAAAGGAGAAGGGAAACAAAAATTAATTACGATGTATTCATTCTGCCTACTTGTCACTAGAAATGACAACGGTAATAAAATCCCATGGTAAGGTATGATTTACTAAACAAAGGTTCGGAAGAAACATTGCTCATAGGCATGGCAGCTTCAACGAGAATCTACAGCAGAATACACTCACTAATAGTTTAAAAGGAGGAAACTTGGTAGTATCAAAGATCATACCAGCGATGGACCGTTTAGGTAGGGGATGGAGGAGGTTGATAAAAAGGCTGCAAAAGAAGTAAAATTCTCAAATATACCTTGAAATAGTTCATGCAAATGAAACGGACAACATATTAGACCTGTTTACAGAGTTAATGAAGCTGAATGCCCGCATGGAATCAAACTCACACCTCAAGTTTCCACGCTAGAGGAAGTTTCAGTAATCCCTTTGTTCAGTGCTCTTTCAACCCTTGCTTCAAAAGGAGTGGCATGGCAATTTACCAACTTATCCTGCACTATAAAAGAAAATCATTATGTTTCAAGCTTCAGCCGATAATAAATATGTTCATGCATTATGTTACAAAATCATACCTCTCTATACTTGCTTGTTGTGTTTGGAATCCCTCTGATCTCAGAGAATGAACTCCACGAATAAGAAAAGTTTGCTTCACCAAGGGAATGAAGGTCTTTTGTCTTGTTAGACTGCCCAAACATCATGATATTTCTGTTGTTCTCCGCCTCTTCAATTCTAAACCTCACTTTTATGCTCGCAGAGAGCTTCTTTCCATCACCACTGGAATTTTTTTTCACTATCGATTTCTTCTTTTCTTGCTCTTGCAGATAAACTGAGTTTAAATCCTGTGCCGCCATCATTTTCTTCTTCTGGAGATCTTTTGGGACCTTTGTGGAACTGGCCGCGACCACATCCAAAGCCCTATTCATACTCCCCTCTAAGGTCCCTTCGATGGCCACTGACTCCAATATCTCACCTTTCCTTGAAATCCTGCTAGAACGTCCACCCCTCTTGCCGTTTGCCCTCTGCTTCCCTCGATTATTAGCTGGCTCCTCCAACTTCTTCTCCTTAATACCCTCAGCTTCACCCTCGTACACTTTTGAAAAACAAGCAGAGTTGTTCATAGCCATAGTTGTCGCTCTTGTCACTCTGCCCATCCTACCCTCCACCACCGCTGGCTCCAACGCATCATCTTTAGACAAAACCCTAGAAGGTCCACAACTTTTCTTGCCACGCCCCCTCCCTCGCCTTCCATCATTGACTAATACTTTAATCTTCTCCGAAGCCTCCCCATCTTCATCCTTCATAGCTACAACCCTATCGGAGCTAACCACTGAAAAGGCCTTCACATTCCTCCCGCTCTTCTGTTCCACAGCCAAAGGCGCCAAGGCTGCATCTTTCTTCGTAACCCTAGCAGGCTCAACACTACTTTTTTGGCGGCTTATCCCTCTCCCTCCAATCTTGGTTGGCGATTCCACCATCTCAGGCCTGACCTCCCTCTCCTCATTCTTCTCCTTCAAAATTCTAGCAGAAAGCTCAATAGCCCTAGTTGCATTCCCACAAGAATTCGCGGAAGCCCTTGTTCGCATCCTTCTTTTGCGCTCCTCCGGGATACGCTTCACGGCGTCATCAACATTAGAAGATTCAGTACATGCCTTACCTTGAGAAGCGCCCTTCTCCCTAAGCTTGGCTGGATCAGTCGCCTTCTCCGCCTTGACTTCCGTCTCAACTGGAAGATTTACAGCCGCCGCCGCCGCCCGCCTTCCACGTTTCGTCCGGGGCTCTGGCAATGAAGATGAGACGGAGATCTTAACTGAGATCAAAGTGTTTTCACCGATCTTGATGACATCGCCGTTGGCTAGGGTAAACGCGTCGTTCGGCTTGATGACTGCTCCGTTGACGGTGGTGCCATTGGAGGCACCCAGATCGGTGACCGTCCACCGAGAGATCTCTGAGTTGAACTCGACAATGAGATGTTTCTGGGAGATTCCGGTATCCTTTATAGCGACGGTATTTCCGCGGAGTACGCGGCCGATGCGAATGAAACTCCCAGGCCTGCGATCAAAGGTTTCCCCCTTCTTGGGGCCTTCGTCTATGGATAGTGTGAGGTTAGGGTTCTCCATGTAGGAGAAGACAGGAGACGGAGGGAGGGGCAAGCTTAAGAAACCTAGAAATTCAGGGGAGATAGAGAGAGGAAGGAGGGGGAGTGGAGTGTGTTTCCGCTGGGATTTGAATGGTTGTCTCCTTCCTCGTTCTGGACGGATTTGAAGCGAGGGCAGAAGATTTGAAAAATGGTATTTTTTCCAATTAGATATGGGAAATCAAAAAAAATATTATATTATAATAGAATCACGCCACAACCCAGGGGAATATTCTCCTATATTATTCATTTGTTATTGTATATTATTCATGTGTTATTGATGTGTTATTGTGTTATTATAACACCAGGAATATTCTCAGAACACAATCACATGAATATCATACAATAACATTTGAATAACATAGGGGAATATTCTCATGAGTTATTGTGTTCTTTGATTTCATTGGACTCTGCACGTAACTTTACGTGCAGAGTTCTGATATAATACTTTTTTCTGTGAAAATCAATGAAATAGAAATTCACTTCTAGAGAAGAAAAAAAATTTTGGACTATAAATTTCTTATAAACGATTTACCAAGGATTAAATTTCAAATTATGGTTGTGTTTTGTTTATTGGCAGATATTATAAGTGTTAGCTATGGAATTGATAGTGAGAATTTCCATTCAAGATTATGTCATCAATCATCATTTAATTGTATATCATTTTAAACATCTCAATTTATATTTCTAACATTAAAAGGACTTTCAACATATCAATTACTCAAAAAATTAGATTTAACATCTTGTCCACCCAAAATTAAAAATTAGCATTTCAACCATCCAAATTTAAAATATATTATTTACAAAAATATAATATTAAAAGGACTTTCAACATACCAATAACTCAAAAAATTAAATTTAACATTTTCTCCACCCAAAATTAAAAATTAGCATTTTAACCATCCAAATTTAAAATATATTATTTACAAAAATGATGCTTAAATTTTTTTTAATAGATAAAAAAATACTATAACATTGAACTCAATTTGTTAGGCCATTCATTTCTTATTATTAGAAACATAATTAGACTACTATATCCAAGTGCCTTCTTTAGATTTATTTTTAAATGCAAGTTAATATCTATCTTCACCACATTGTAAAGCATTCAATACTCTTTTTTATAATTTTTTTTTTTCTATTTTTATGGGCATTGAAGGCATAAAAAAGATTTTACTTATTTGATTTGAAATTTTAAAGGAATTTATATGTATTTGTACAAACAAGTTTTCTATGGTCATCTAACATGATATAGATGAACAATTTATATAGGCATGTTCTAAATATAACATTATTTATTACTATTTTCTATACTTTTTTGAGTTTAATATTCTAAAAAGTAAGACGTGATATAAAAACATATATATATATATATATATATATATACACAGTTATATATATATATATAATAATTTCATAATTTACATAATTATATTTATATCATTTTTACATATTCATAAGAAATTTTATTATTATCTCCTCCTACCTTCTCCTTTCATGATTTTTTTCATTTCCTTAAACTTGAAAAATTTTAGAGAAAGAAATAGAAAGATAAAAAAATGTTTAAAGAGCGAGTTTCAGGGGCCTCACAACCAAATAGTAAAATTGAAATTAAAATAATAAATTAGAGAAATTTATCTATGTTATAGCCATATGATTAATTAATAGATGAGCTCTAGAAGTTGTGTAGTTTATTAGTTTAGCGGCTCAATTGATGGGTAAAGATCAGAGTAGAATATCTATTATTAGGGTGATGGAGGGGTATATGCATTTACACATATTTTTTTAGGTTAGAGGTATATATTTACTTAAAAGGAATTGAATCTATGGTGGAGAAATCATTATAACTGATCAATGATTATTATCTCAACATTCATTTTTAGCTTGATATGATTAATTTTATGGTAATAGTTGAGTCACAATAGTTAGATGATAATAATCAAACAACAATGATCATGTAATGATGGTATTCAAATCTCCTAGCTCTCTCTAAGAGAAACTCACTTTTTTATTTATATAGACAATACAAATGCTTACAATTTTTTAAAGTGATATTTTGGCCAAAAGCTTAGGACATTTTATCAAATGACACATTTCAAGTTTTTATCCTTGGCCAAAAGCTTAGAACATTTTATCAAATGACACATTTCAAGTTTTTATCCGACCCATTCAATCATCATTTCAGTACGTTAAAGACTTTAAAATTGTAGTATATTTAGCTAATTGAATTTCTCTCGTCCAAATGCTCAACTTAAATATAAACACTTAAATTTAATAAAAAAATATATATTACTGGCATCGTTATTTATTTCTATCATGTATGACACATGTTTTTAGTGTCAAGGGGTTGTATTTTCTAATACATATGTTCAAGTGACTCAAAATGCCGATGAAAATCACTTCAGGTGTGAATCATACTCAAATCATCTGATTATCGACGATGTCATTTAGACTATCTCTGATCATATAACCGACTATGCGAGAGCGTCCGGAACACCGATTTTACTTTGGAAAGAGACCCATATTATGTGGATTTTGTGCACGAGTTAGTGACACGTAAATCGAGATGCATATATAAAAATAATTTAAAAAAAAAAACCTATCCCATCCCTATTTCACGCGGATCCCCTGCAAACCAAAAGGATCGCGCGTCGCCTTCTCCCTAATGACCAGAAAAACCCCCACTTCGTTTACCCTTTCACCGAAAACCCTCTCATCGACCGACCTCGACGGGCCTCCTCCCTGCCGCAGGCCAACCGCGTGGCTTCTGAAACACTCACGAGGCTCCTTCCCCTCGTTGGGCTCCTCCCTATCGCTGACAAACCGCACGGCTACCGAAACCCTTGCTCTCCACCTCCAATCGAGCTTCCCTTGGCTGTGATCTCCTCCTCCCTCGGTTCACAACTTGCTCTCCCTCTCCCTTTTCGTCGACAACTCGAGCTGTTGCTCCTCTCTTTGCTGCCACCCTATTCTCCTCAAACCGCGTATCATCTCTCTGCCAATCCTAATCATCCCTCATGCACCACCTTCCAACTCCTCCACCCGTGAGCCTCCCCATCTCCTTCCCTCTTCTCTCCACCACTTCTTGGAGTATGAGACAACCTTTTGGAGGAGTTTAATGGGAGTAAAAAAAAGCATTTTAATCTTGCAAGGAGGATGTAAGATTAAGCAAAACGAGCACAAGTCCTTAAACATTATAATGGTGAAACTCCTCTAAAACAATAAGCCTTTAGGTTTTGTTCTCGAGAAATTAAGTTTAGGTTGATGTTAAAGGAAGCCCCTTAGGTTAATGGAGAAAATATTACATCCAAACTCCGGATATCCGGAAAACGACCCGGATGCAATGGAGGAGGGGAAGAGTCAGACCTCCACCCTCCTCGCTGCATCTGAGTCGTTGTTCGGACAACAGGAGTTCGGTTGTAATATTTTCTCAGGTTAATGAGCTTTTTGTGCATCCCTATGACCCTCAAGTAATTCCCTCAGCTTTAGCCCAAGAAACTCAGATACAAGGGATTGTAGTAATTTTGTGTCTGCCTCAACGATTCTATTTCTTTGATGGGAAGAATAGAATCTCACTATTTTTCTGTTAATATTGATAACGAGACGACGAAACTGTGAGATTTTGACCGGTGTTGCTTAAATTAAATTAAAATCTCCCCAAAAAACACTCTAATAATTAAACATAATAAAAAGAAGACATGACATATGAACTGTAAACTTTGGAGCTACCAATACAGTAAGGAGCTTGGAGCACACTTGGTGGGCAGCATGACGATGCCATAATGCACAGAAGAACATCTTCGAGAGAGCAAACGAGATTTCCATCAGCTAAAACTTTCCTAGTTTAAAAACATGTCATAGGATTTCAAGGTTGTCTGTCTAGTGCGATATAAATCCTTACCTCATCTTTAGGATTTTGCATAATCATGTTGTACATCATAAGTCCTAACTCTCTTAGTATCCTGAGGTCGTCGTCTACATAAACACTTGTATCTTTCAGGTTATTTGCATGATCAGATATCGTGCAGATGTAAGACCTAAATAAGAAAATTGGCAAGATTGAAACATTAAATAATATTATTTTTGAAATAAAAGTCAAACAATTGGATAGTTTAAGAAGTCACTAGGTTCTTCTCAAGATTTATGACATCCCATACTTTTTTCTTTCATTTGGACTCCAAAATAATTGCTTCTATTTGATCCACTTTCATTTGATTTTTCTATTTCCAACATTGAAAACTAAAATTTGAAATCTTGAAGACAAATACTCTGATTATTATCGAGAGTTTTTTTAGTGACTTCAATGGCTTAGGATGTAATTAACTATGGTGGGTTGCCTTTATAGAGAACTAAATAACCCCGGTAAAATAAACCCTACTTAATATTCAATATTAAGTTGGAGAATTTTTCGGTTAACATACAAAAGGCTTGCAGACCAAACGGATGTCATAAATTCATTAGTTTATGTAATCAGTCCCGCTAACAAAAGATTAGTCTTTTCCTTGGTAGGTGCATTGCTTTTGATGTGGTGCTGAGTTATTTAGACTATTAAAGGTGTCAGATATTTTTTGTGTCATTTTCAAAATCAAAATTATATGTATAATTCAATTAAAGATTATTTTCAAGATGGAATTGAATTTCTTGACCGACATGCTTAAGTGGGGTATTTTTCTTTTGGTGGTGGTTTTATTATGCACCTCTCATCATCCTTAATCTAAAAGTGTATAAAAATGGTTTCTTGTCATTAAACATTCAAAGTATCCCAATAAAAATAATATTATGTTAATCATGTTGATAAAGTCAACATCTATAAAAGAATATAACCAAAATTTCTAACATCATCTCTTGCAATGCACTATAGAAATGTTATCTGCTGGTATATATTCTTAGAGTTCTTGTCTTCATCCATGCATTTATATAATAACTTACTTCTTTAACTCATCTAATTGAATTTCTCCTGAAAGTCATATTTTTTAAACTCAACCAATTAATCAGCATAAATTCAACAATGCTAAATGTCAAATCCTAATCTCCAATATTTACTACAATGAAATAGCCTTATAAGCATCATCAACACTAGTGATGTCAAATCAAGTTCACAGGTCGAGTTTGGCTTTGACTTGAAATGACCCGACACAAAATTATTTGACTCAAATCTAACAGAGTAGTAAATAGGTCAAAAGGTTCTATAAGAACCCAATCCTTCAAACCGCTAACCCAAACCTGACCCGTATAACCCATTTAACATAAGAAATAATAACTTTTTAGGTTAAATTTAGGCTAAATTTGGATGGATTTTGACTTAATATCATATCCATTTTTGGTTGACGTGTTGATTTGAATATTATTTTGGGTTTGCGGGTCAAACCATTCTAGACTCGAAAAATTAAACATGTTAGAATTCATAACTCAAATCAAACCCAAAAGTTATTGGAGTCAACCCAAACCCAAAATTTCTTAATCTAATTTGGATCAAATTGGCATGTTGGATTAATTTTTTATATCTCTAATCACTGCCATCTTGAACATTAGTTGACAATAAAAAAATTACAAGCCACTTAAAAAATTGAATGTAAAGGGGATATCTCAATATTAACAATAAAATTCTTGAACTATATTTGAACATATGTTCAATTTTAAGGTAGACACAATATACTATAATTTAATATTTATAATACATCAGGATGCAAAGTTTTATCTAATTACAAAAACATTTATAAAATGACAATGATAGTTTCTTTATTAAAACCAAGTAGATATCAGGTGAGCAGTGAGTATAATTACAAAAGTCCTAATATAACTAATATACATTTTTATATAAATTAATACAATCATACAACTATACTATAATAGAGAAAATTGTGATTCAATTTAACTTGAAACACAATATTCATAATTGAGGCTTCATTTAAATGTGCTTCCCTTTTCAGCAAAGTTCTTTTGAAAGTTAAGTTCAGAAACTAGAGAAAGTAACCTACTATCTAAAACGATGAAAGATCAACCTTCTTTTGAGACAAACTTCGAAAGAAGTTCAGGAAATGCTGGTTCGCCAAACAAAAACTTTGTTCGCATCAACATGCACTACATTGCAAAGGAGACACGCAACATTCATAAACAAAGCTTGAATTATCTCATCTATGTCAGGGAGTGCTCTAGCATGCAATAATGGAAAAAAGATAGTTTCACCAAAAATCTAACCTCATTTACAACATACAAAAGTCCTAAACTTATGATTAAAGGAAAATTCAAAACTCTACAAAATGTGCTTGGATACTATGAGAAGTCAAACCAATCTCATCAAACACCTGTCGTAATATTTTTAATTTATAAATATTAGTTTCGATTAAGGGTCTATTTGGGGCCGTTGTAGCTTATTGAATAATATGCTGATAAGCTGATTAAAAATAATCTACTGATAAGCTAGCTGCAGTAAAAATTATAATTTTTTATTTTTTTTTGGGAAAAGCCAGACCGTTGTAAAAAAACTGCCACAACACCTAGACATGTGCGGTGTGAAAACACTGTTTTTAGCATTTTGAAAACACATAAGCTGCCAAAACGCAGTTTACCCATTGATACGTTTTTAAAACGCCACCGCATTAAATAAGCTGTTTCAAACGGACTCTGAGTAGCTAAAAATTCAAAAAACAAAGATTGTTATATATAAATAAATGTAAAATAAATGGGTCAAATATTTTATAATTTACTACTATGAATCAATTTAGCAATGTAAATTTTTTTTATTAATTCTAAGAATTCTTACTACATTCTAATTAGCATTTTAGTTAAGCATCGATGATAAATGTGTAACCAATTTATACATATGAAGATTGTTTAATCACATAAAACATAAATTAAATATATTTAATAAGCTTACAATTCATATTTGATTAAAACTAATTAAAAAATTAAATCATAAATTTACCTTGCTCCCCTGCTACTCACCTCTTCTCCGCATTCCGTCTTCTTCAATCAGAAACCCTCGGGCGGTGGAGCGTGCAGAAGTGACGACGGAGCTTGCAGGCGAAATTGTTAACGGATTGCGGGGTTTGAAACCCTCAATTTCCGCGTCCTAGTCACCTACTCCCATTTCTCTCTATCGTCGTAGATCTTCGCAGGACTCACTGGCAGAAATGGAGGGCGGAATATTGGAGGTGATACTATGCATGATCCTCTTGTTAGCTGTCTTTTCGCTGCTATTGTGGAGGCGCCGCCAGTCGTCTCGTTCATCACATGGGCACGAGGAAGAACCACAGCAACAGCGGGTAATGCCACAAGCTCTCTTACTATCCAAAAGTTTTTTTTTTCTGCTACTAGGTTGATTCGTTTTTATCGTAATAAACTTCTGTAGAAATTTTTTTAACTATGAGTCTTTTTGTTGGAGCTTTTATTGGGGATTTTTTTTTTGAGATTATCATGAAAAACAGCAGATTTATGGCATGCTTATTCCTTTATTTTATTTGGGTTATCTGGGGTTGAAAACCATGTTTTGGGTCTCCATGCAATGGGAACTTGGGAGAGCAGCAGTAGTTATTGGTTTTTTAAGCAGGCTTATATTTCGTCTATTGAATCTTCATCCCTACACCTTTCAAGGCCACATGGTTTGTAATTTGTAGGGAAGAATGGAATCAATGTGACCCATGGAATGTTTGCTTATATATGCTCCCTTTTTCTTTTGTCCGTTGGATACAGTAAAATTTTGAGGTAAGTTTTTTGGTAAATTGTAGCCATAATAGAATTTCAGTTTTTAAATTTTTTGATGATACAGCAAGCATAAGTTACAAACTAGCACCATGAAAAAAAAATTGATAAAACTGGTAGATATTTGAGGAGGAAAATTTCTGTTGGAAATAATGACCTATTGTTGATTGATTTTTTTTCGAATATTAATAAGCACATCTGAGGATTTTGTGGCAGAATTTCTGTCAAAATTTACTTATCAATGAAAGCTTTTTTATGAATTTGTTATGAATAACCTTGTTCTTTGGTCAAATCAAAATGTGCTTGAGTCCCTTTCTCACTTGCACCAATTCTCCTTCCCACATCATTGCCTCACTTTTTTGCATTGCCTTCACCTATTCTCTCAGTCTGCTGTTGCTGCCTTGTTTCCCTTTTAATAGAATTTTCATTGTAGAAGCTGTCAAAATTTATTGAAGTGGTAATGAAAATTCCATCAAAATATGGATTTATAATTAAGCTGTTATGGATTTTTCATCGTAGAAGCAGCTAAAAAAAGATCTTTTTGATAGAAATTTCGTCGGATGTTGTTCATCGAAATTTTTATCAAATAATTGTTTCCCATTAACATTTTTTTCAATGTCATCTTACGCATAAATTCTATCAGTAGTTGATTTTCTCATGGAATTAGTCCTATTTTCAATGAAAATTTGGTCAATAATGTCGCATTTTCTTGCATCATAGAAATATAACTAATTAAATATTAGTAAGAGAACAGGAGACATGTTTTCTTGGAAATCTGATGAGCAAAGGTTAGATTTTGGTACAATCAAGACATCAAATCTTTTAATTTCGTATTTAGTAAAGCTTGAAGGCGTTAAATATTGAGTACTATTTGGTTTGATAGTTGTTAATGGTTAAATTGTTAAAAATTGTTTGTCATATATTTTCAAAATTTAGGATTTAAGCGAGGGGGTAAAGGAGCAATGAGGAGAATTGTGATTATCTTAAATCTCATTTCTTCCAAAATTTACTAAATTCAATATTTGGTCTGTAATGGGAGGATGATGAGATTTAAGAAGCTAGTAAGATTTTTGTGGCTTAGAAATTTGTTTAGTAACTTTAGCCTAAATCCTGGCTAATTGCTCAATAACATTTGAAAGCAACCCCTTAGTAAGATAAGTCAGAAGGAATTGCAAATAAGAATTATGATCAAATAAATCTTTTTGTAATTCAAAGAAATGCCCTTCAGGTCAATTATAATTCTAAGCCTAAAGATGAGCAATAAAAACAATTCAGGCCAATCATCGATGCATGTGTCAACATGTTGGAAGCTTCCACCAACAGTGTGAATGTTCTATTAATAAAATTTATTCCAGTATGTGTAGTGTTTTAAAATGAGGAGATTTGCATACATACCACATATCATATATATTTTCATATCCAACATCCAAATTTAAATATTTGTTTATAACACTTTATTGCCTCATTCACATGAAAACTTATGCATGAAAGTATATATTTCACTTTAAAAAAATAATTTTATTAGTGTTTTTAATGTAATTTAAGTATTTAATTGCCACATCCATAAATATCAAAATTTAGGTGTTAGATATGTACACAAGAACATTTGTGATATGTATGTAAATCCCCCTTCCAATTACCCAACTTTTTTGATTAATTTTCCAAAATTCATAATATTAATCTTTTTGTTTATTAGGACAATGAATAATAATCTTGTTTGAATGGCATTCATTCTTATGCTTTGATTGTTGCTTGAGGATTGAAATATGTAGCATATGCCTGATTTTTTTTTTGAACTTGGTCTTATAAAAATAGATTTTATTTTTGAATTCCCCACTTTAGAAATTAGAATTGATAGGAGAAAAATTGAGTATACAACCTATAACCTTGATGGTATGATATTAATAATAGAAAATATTATTAGAGCATAAAACAATATTTAGATGTGATATATTTAACACCTTTGATATGCTATATATGAGAATAAGGACGTAAAGACAGAGTTTAGACTTGTGGTTGTGAAGTGCCTTAGGAGTAAAATGTGATAAGAGAGATCATTGAGGCTTCAAGATGAATTTTATAAAATTAAAGTTATGCTAATGATATTGTGGTAATATGTTGAATTGTAAGAAGTTTTTAATGACAGTTGAGTATGTTGGAAATGAGGATGTAAGATAAATGAATTGCAAAACTAGAAGGGATAAATTAAAGAATATTTGCATTGAATTAATGATTGGAGTGTCATTTTTTGAGGATAAGGTAATAAGAAATTGATTTAGGTGGTTCGGGGTACACTAAAGGGTAGAAAATGCACCATTAACTTTGTTGATAAAATTAGTTTTGATGAATTTGTAAGGAGGAGTAGACTTGAGATAAAATGGATATAAGTCTATAAGACTATAAGTTTAAAATAATTTGTGAAGACTAGATTTTACTCTCACCAAATTATAGGTGGTACAAATGGAAAATGAATATTGACAATACAAACCCAAATTGATGGGAGAAGGTAAATAATGAGACAGTTTGATACGCCCTTAATTTGCATGCATCATTATTATTTTTAGTTAGGTATAAGTAAGATTTTTTCTAACTCATGCAGGCATCTTTAAGCTTAGTTTCGAAGCTTTTCAATTCTGTACAGAGCCAGAATCTTATAAAGAATGGCATTACTGTGAAATTATTTCTGTATATGATGTGAGTAGAGCCTCAAGGAAATATCTGTTAAGAGTGATATGCTTGTTTGAATGAAAAAGAAAGAAGTATGAGACACAGAAATAAGCAAATAGTGTATTATTATATATATCATAACCCAACGAAACTAGGGACAGCTAAGAAGTTCCCAATTTTATGCAATTCTGTATATATTAAATCGTAGAGATTTCATTCTGTTTGTACCTAAGCTATGACGTCCTTGGGCACTTTGCAATAACTCTACACTATGCAGTCACTTGTACAACATGCTTGTTCCCGAAGAGTAGAAGAGTAGCATGTGAAAACCATATTTCTTTTAACTTTTATGCATTTGCAAATTCATAGTTTTAGTGTATTTGTCACATGAAACTAATGAAACTAATATTAGGATATGATATTGGAATATTGGTACTCTTAATGGTAAATTAATAGAATTAGCTGATATTATGATTCATAGGAAAATTAATATCTTATGTATTCAAGAAACTAAGTGGGTTGGAGAAAAGGCTAAGGAGATTGATAATTTAGGTTTTAAATTTTGGTATTCTGATAATAGTCGTACTAGAAATGGTGTAGGTGTATTTATAGATAAGAGTTTGAAAGATAATGTTGTAAAAATTAATAGAGTTGGAGATAAAATTATAGCCCTTAAGATTATCATTGATACTAAGATTTTTAATATTATAAGTGCTTATGCTCTTAAGTAGGTTTATATACAAGGTCTAAAGATAAATTTTGGAATGACTTAGAAGACTTAATACAAATGATACCTCTTGAAGAAAGAATTTTTATTGGAGGAGATTTAAATAGCATGTCGGTAGAGTGGTAAAAGATTTCAGAATTATTCATGGTGCCTACGGTTTTGGAGTAACTAATGCAGAAGGTAGAGCTATTTTAAATTTTGCTTTAGCGTATGATTTTATTATTACTAATACTTTATTCAAGAAAAGAGATAAACATCTTATTACTTATACGAGTGGATCTAATAAAACACAAATTGATTATTTTCTTATGAGAAGAAGAGATCGTCGAGATTGTAAAGATTGTAAGGTCATTCCAAGTGAAAATTTAAGTACCCAACATCGTTTATTAGTTTTAGATTTTAAGATTAAGAGCTGTAAAATAAAAAATACTAGGACTCATCATTGCAGAATTAGATGGAGAAACTTAAAAGATACAAATAAAATTAATTTTATGAGTAAAATTCAAGATTTCAAAATTTGGGATATTCATGAAGAATCAAATGTGATGTGGGATAATGAAGAAACAAATGTTATGTATGATAAAATAAAAAACACTATTAAACAAGTAATAAAAGATGTGCTTGGAGAATCAAAAGAAAAAATTTTTATAAATAAAAATAGTTGGTGGTGGAATAATAATGTGCAAGAAAAGATAAAATTTAAGAAGTTATGTTATAAAAATTGATTTAAATGTAAAAACTTAGAGAACTGGAGAAAATATCAAACGGCTCGCAGGGAGTCTAAAAGAACAATCTGTGATGCTAAAAATTCTGCTTTTAATGATCTTTATAATAGATTAGATACT